AATAAGATTTTTTTCTCTTGCATATACTTTTGTTCCTACAAAACTCTTTTCTTTTCAACTTTGTTACTATGGGATTTTTTTTGTTGCATTTTGTTATACATCTTATCTCAATGGTATACAATCTTAGTTGGAAATTGTTTTAAACTCACCATTCTTTGTTGCTTTGTAAAGTTTTGGTACATCACAGATTCACATTTTAAAGTGTGTCTTGCATTTTGAAGTGCACGTCTTGCATTTTGGTCAACATCTATCTTTTACGGAGTATATCTCATATGTAGATGGTAAATTAGGTCACTCTTATAATGCACAGATTTACTGAACATATACAGAGATTGTTATGATTTATGCACTTATGAAAATCTTTCATTTTGACCATTATTTGTTTCTTATATTATTTATTTCTTATATGACACTAGATGCTCCTAGGGCCATGTTTAATGCATATTCAATCCCTATATATATCTTGCATTTTTAAGTCTATGCATTGCACTTTGAAGTGCCTCTCTTGCACTTTGATTAACATCTATCTTTCATATTATATATGTAGATTCTAAATCATGTCACATTTTATTAGGGCCGTTTCCTACAAAGATTTGGCATATTGTGGGCTAGACCCACACATTAATGTGAGAGTATGACTGGTTCTTTGTGTATACTTTTTTATGAATGGTTGAATATAAAGCTTTATAGAATGAATCACAGGATTTTATTTGTTGTAACTAACTAATTATTTTTTGGATTGTTTTATATGAAGCTTCAAAAGATGCATATGAATTATTAATTTGTAATTGCTTAGAAGACATCAAAACATATACTTAAAAAATAATGCATTTAGAGTATGTTGTGATGCATTTGAATGCAGGTTAGATACATGTCATTTTGATGCATTTCAATGCAAGTTAGATGCAAGTGAGTGTTCATCTTGATAATCTAGACTTGATAAAGATGTCTTTTATTCTTTGAAGGGAGACTTCATAGTGATGCAGTTTTACCTTATTATTTTTTGCAAATGATGATGCATCTAAAATATGAAACTTATCCATGAGATAGTGAATTTCTTCTAACAAAAATACGTGAGTATAGATTAAAAACACATTGAATGAATGAATGAATGAGAATCTCTTTGAAAAAACAAATTGTTGCCTATTAGCTCAAATGGTAGAGCATTATGTACTACATGTGTGGGTTCGAATCCCACATAGGCAAACTATTTATCTTATTTGTATTACAGTCTTTCCCAATACATTACATTCTCATGCTTTCTCATTACATACATAGCTACATAAGAATCATTTTTCACTAATCTATAAATTAATAAAATAAAATTAGAATAAAATCTAAAGAACAAATCATGATGCATATATCGCTCATCACAGTGTATTCACATTATATTTGATGCATATATCGCTCATCACAGCATATCATAGATTCACAAAGCGTCTCCCCAAGATAAATTTGAAAAAAGGGATAAATTAAATACATTTAGTTGAATTTATATATCCTACTTTAAAATATAAGCAGAAGATAATATCATAATTTTATATTCAATATTGGTGTTGTTATGTAGATCTCGACGAGAGGTTTCTTATGACATATTATTTGTCAAGAATGGACTTATATACAAAAATTTATAAATATAATAGACATTGTAACACAATAATTAAATGAAATGAAAATTAATATAATAATACTCCATATAATAATATTCCTAGATTGAGTAATTTACGGACACTCCATAAATGCATCGTGAATAATGATTTTACCAAATTGCCCATATGTAATCATTTCTCCCTATTTTAGTGGAGTCGTGTGACTCCTTCCATAAATAAAATTGAAGTTAATTATGGAGACTTTTAAAAGTTTAGCCATCCGATTAACTAGATCTAATGGTTAACATTCATTCTCATTTCTTTCACCAAGAGCATTTCTCACCTGAACCAACCCCTATATATATATATATATATATATATATATATATATATATATATATATATGGGATTGACTCAAGTCAGATGACATCTTTCAATCAAATGACACTTTCGGTCAGATGACATGCATCAGAATGAGCACCACCTTGTTTGAGAATGAGCACCACCTTAATTCAGAATGAACACTGCACTGAGCAGACTGTGAATGAGTACTAGGTTCTTTCAGAATGAGTACTACGTTTATAATGAACAAATGTGTGAAAATCAACACACTATGTCTTAGAATGAACACTACGTGGATTCCAAATGAACGCTATGTTGTTGTCTCGCTGGCTTGGAATGAACACTATATTGTGATGAACAGTTGTGTGAGAATGAATCCTACGCTGTTTAAGAATGAGCGCTACATTGATTCAGAATGAGTAATACGTTGTCATCTGACCGAAAACGTCATCTCACCGAAACATGTCATCTCACTGGAGTCAATCTATATATATATATATATATATATATATATATATATATATATATATATATATATATATATATATATATATATATATATATATATATATATATATATATAGGCGGGTCGGAGCGTTTTCCGGCCAACTCCGGCGAAATTGACGGCGGGCATCCACTCCAATGCGTTCGTGGCATCCGGGCGACCTCCAAGGACACCTCAATTGCAAGATTTGATGACGATTTGCAAAACCCCCAATTTTGAACCCAATTTCGAATTTTAGGGTTTTTCGAGTAGAAAAATTCAGATTCAAGAAGTGACAGGCCAAATTAGACAAAATGGTTTGGATATTATTGATCCTCGTCTCAAGACGAAGAGAATGACATTGGTCCCGCCGGAATCGGAAAAAGTTCATTTTCCGGCGACTTTGACCGGCGGGCGGCGGCGGCGGGGCCTATAAGAAAAGAAAAGAAGAAATGGGGTCAAATTGAAAATTTTAAAATATATAAAATTCGAATTTGGCCCTAATGAACGGAAGTTAACCTAGAAACGGGCTAATGGCTCATTAGTGAAAGGATTGTGTAAGTTCAGGGATTTTTGTGAAAGGATTTGAAGTTCAGGTACCACTTCGAAATTCCAACTAAAGTTCAGGTATCATTGGTGAAATTTACCCTAACGCTATCATCTTTGAATAAAATAATGTAATTTTGACATGTTTCTATAAAATGGGACGACTACTTAATTCTTTAAAAGTATGTATTACGTGAATTATTTTTGCGTTGACATTTCATTAAAATTAGGGCCCAAATTAATCAATACATCGCACATGCAAGACCCAAGATATAATTGGACGGGCCGTCCGGCCTTATTAATTGGGAAGAGTGGTCCAGTAAGACATTTTGGAGTAATTTCACACGGAGTACGGAGTATTTGATAATCTAGGGCGCCAATGCTTGAAAGCCTAGAAGTATTTGGTAGTGATCCAATTTTGACCCCATCTTTCTCATGGCTACACACAATTAATTAACAATACTCTACTCTGTAAGTATTTGTAAACGGATGTGGTAACTAGAGCTGGCAAAACAGAACCGGAACCGATTACCCGAACCGAAATATCCGAAACCGAAACCGAAATGACACGAAAAATGAAGATCCGATCTATAACCGAAAACCCGAAATGATCCGAATCGAACCGAAACCGAACTAAATAATTCATATCCGATTTAAATCCGAAACCGATTAGATCCGAAACCGAAATATCCGAACCGATTAAACCCGAAACCGATTAGATCCGAAACCGATAATACCCGAAACCGATAAAACCCGAAACCGATTAGATCCAAAACCGATTATATCCGAAACCGATTAGAACCTACATAGATAATTTTGGAAGTATGTTTTCCTTTCAATAAGCATATTATGCTTTTAAAATTTTACTATAATATGGAGTACCATTTATGCTTTTAAAAATTTTAATATAATACGGAGTACCATTTTTAAATAGCTATACTTATAAAAAAAAGTATGCGAGTCAGTGCAAAGCACGAGATAAAAACTAGTTGCTTCGACTCATTTATAAAGATAAAACTAAAGATATTAATAAATTTGCACTAAATAATACTAAAACATAATTACTTTCTTAATCTAGCACTTAAACTTTTTTATTCCTTATAGAGAACTTTATAATGTCTTAGTGGGAGGAATAATGGCCAATAATAAATTAATAATGGACATTTACTTAAATAATGACTAATTAATAATGACTAAAAGTCCTACATTGGGAAATAAAAACATATGGTCCTATATTTGGAAAGCCATTGTGTTTTAGCCCTATTTAGGTAAATTACTCATAATATTATTTGAAGTGATAAAATTTTAATATATCAAAAC